CCCTGGTTGGCGGCGAGGGAGACCGAAGCGTGGCTGGAAGCGTGCGGGGTCTCGGCCGGCAGCGATCCCGACGTGGCGAGAGCCCTGAAAAATAAATAACAATCCTCTGTTCTGCAAAGTCACTTTTCCCTTCGTCTTTGTTGGAAACTTGAATATTTTTTTTCGTTTAAATAGCGTTAGTGCCATTGTTAAGGCGGGGAGGGTGGAGGTGGTGCCCTCGGAAACTTAACTTGTCTGCAACTTCTTGTGTTTCCCGCTTCTGGTGTGTGTTGCCCACCAAGTTTAGGGGTATAAAGATAATATTTCAACGCTTTTTTTTTTTTTTTTTTTTCTCCTGTGACCCAGAATTAAAATAGCCTAATTGTATATTCTTCAAAGACTGTAGCTGCAATTTATTTTAATAGATTGCAGTTATAGAAGATAGACACCCAGGAGATTTTGCCTTTCACCATGGCTCAGTTTGGAGGACAGAAGAATCCCCCTTGGGCTACTCAGTTTACAGCCACTGCAGTATCTCAGCCAGGTCAGTTTACGTATCATTTAATGTTTGAACCCTGACATCTAGTAGATTTGGAGATTCCAAAGTTGGGTATGTTAAGAATCACACTCTGCTAGCTAACTTATTTAAATTCTATTTAAATGGTTTAAGTTGGGAGTTTTTCACACGGTAGCAACACTAAAGATCATTGCGTAATACTAGCTGTTGGGTTGTTTTTCTTTTAAGGAATGATAAGTAAAATCCCAGGTGAATTTTTATTGATTCTTTTGGTCAGTAAACAAGATATTAAATTACTCATATCCAAAGATGCATAAATCAAATTACCTTTCATCAAACTGCATTGCTTTAGATTAAATAATAACAGCACTAATAAGGCATTACAGGTTTTATTAAGTGCTGCCAGAGTTTTGTTTCCCGGGTAGTGTAAATCAATGTTTACAAAGTATTTTGCCTTTACTAATATATTAGATGTACCTGACATTGTGAAGATGTCTCTGAAATTTGCTGCTTGGATGGGGAGGGGGTATATATATAAAAAAATTATTTTTTTTTGTTAATGCAGAGTTAGAACTCCGGGGGCCCTATAACCAAAGGTATTGCCCTGATAATGATAGAGGGTTTATTTTTATTTAGCTAAGAAGCCTTATTTAATCACAGGCTAGTGTATTTAAAAACTTAGACTGGTTAGATTTTTCATGTTTCACATTGTTTTATAGTATAAAAGGTTTTGAGGTAAGATGCTGCATGGTGAATCTTGGTGCTTCCAGTTCTGGGCTGCCTTTTTCTCTTGAATACAAAGTGTTTCCTAAATATTGTAGTTTCATTGTGTGATGTGAAAAAGCTTCAACACAGCTGGAGTGCTTTGAGGATTTGGGATGTCAAAATGTGAGCACAAGATATCTTTCTAAAGAGTTGTATGTTTTTTTACAGTTGTCCTTTGCATCTTGCTCTAGTTTGATACGAGGTTGAATGATTCCTTTGTCATCTGGGAGCTTAGTTGGGAATGCCTGCCATTCTTTGAAGGTGCATGTCTGGGGGCAAAAAAAGAAAAAAACTTTCTCCTGACTCAGTTTTCTTTTCGGAAATGACTCCTCCATCTCCAGTTTTTACTTTGGATATTGGTCCAGTCTGAGTGCTTATCGTTGGGGAACTGGCACCCCCACCATGTGTTTCACACTACTCTGTCCCAGGCTGCCTTTTCCTTTTCCTCTGTGCCTGTTCAGTCCCACTCTACCTAAACTGTTGCTGTACCTAACCAGCTGCCTACAAGCAGTTTTCCACTTTTTCTCTGAATACCTCACATTTCTCTTTTCCAAATGGTACAACTTTCCTTCTCTGAGGCATTGTTTAACAGCTGGAAAGGGTTGGCATTGTGAACATGGGAAAGACAAGCTTTGCTTTTGGTTCTTGTGTCTGACTGGGTGATGCCTGGGAGCGACCAAAGCATGGCAGCATCTGGGCTGGAGTATTCTTGCTATGTTGACTGATGTGACAGCTAGTGCATCAAAAATAGTGGTGGAAGGCTGAGGGCCACCTCCCTGTCCTGTTTCGGAGGGAAATAAAAAAAACCTGCTGAAGGGGAGGAGTGGGCAGCCATCTTGCACCTTACTGAGCTAGGACCAGAAGGGGGCCCTGGGGAAGAGGGGGATGGAGCAAGGGCACTGGAAGCACACACCAACTTCTTATCTGTCCATTTTGCTGTTTTCCTATGACTGTGCCTTTGGTTAGCCTACTTCTGAGCCTCCTTAAATTAAATGAGGTGCAAAATTTAATTGGGATAGGACTAGTCAGCATCAGTGACTGTGAGAGGTTTTTCACCTGCTCAATGAGGACAGTATCTCCAGGGATTTTTAGCTGTTAATCTGATCCAGCAGCTCCTGACTCAAACCTGAAAGCCATTAAAGACTAACATTTTGCTGCACTTTTGCCTTCTTCCTGTGCTAGTTCCACCTTCCTTCATGTTCATAGTGTCCCTCTTCACACTGCAGTATCTTCTCTCCAGTACCACTTGAAGGCATTTAGCTCCAGGCGTCCTTCTGTGCAGTCTTTTCCTATTGCAATACACAGTCACCATGTCTGTGTCCTCTTCCTTCCCTGTCTGTACTACTGAATCCAGTCCTTGGGATTCTTCCACCCAGCTCCTGTTCTATTGCCCATGTACATACTTTATCCCCTGCTCTTTTTATTGGCAGTGCTGATTTATAATACAGAGCACAGGAAACTTCTTTTGAAAAGTATGCAGTGCTAATTGGCCCTGCTGAGAGCTGGAGAACAGTTTTTAGTGTTGAGCTGCAGCTACGTAGTCACCTTTCATGCACTTTTCAACATAAAGCTATGACTGTCCAGCCAGGTTGCTTGCCTGCTGAGGAGAGATGCTGTCAGCGCTCAGGCATGCTGACTAGCGTGTACTCCTTCTCATCTGCAACTGTGCTCAAGGAGTTATGCAGATTGGCTTACCCTGGTGAAGCTCAATGTTCATAAACTGATTTAAAATAACTACATTTACCATACTCTTACATATTTTCAGAAGATTGGCAAAAGATGTTATATATTTACGCACGCCAGCTACTTTTAGCCAAGTGTCAGGTTCCTTCTCCAAAGCATCAAGGTGCTTGGGTATGGGAGAAAGATTTTTATAACACAAGCAACATGATATATAGCTTTTCCTAAGCTGTTGTCAAAAATGGTGAGTGATGGTGTTCTAAACCCAGTTTGATAATTGCAAAAAGGTAATTTCAGGGTTGGGGTTTGGTTGGTTGGTTTCTTTATTGCTGACTTGGATGTTGTCTTGGCCATCCCTTGTGAAGAAGTAACTATATGAGTTAAGGCTCTTAGTTATTAAGGTGTGACACTCTAAGGTAGTTGTAGAGTGACATGCTGTGTAATGAAGGGTTCCTGAAATCCCTTTGGGATAGCTTACTAATTACTGTCTGTGCACGGGTATTAGAAGAGAGGGAAGTAATTCCAGGTGCTAGCAAAGGTCTATGTGTGAAGAGAGACTCCTGCCTGTAATACAGTGAAATTGTTTCTCTACTCCTTGTCCCATGGTTTTGTGCATAACATGACTGAAAACAATAAAGTCCCTGCTATGCTGGTTAAGCATTGTTAAAGCATAGCTTAAATAATGCCTGCTACAGAAAATCGAAGTTTAAAAAATTTCTAGATAGGACAGAGTGCATTTTGCAAGTAGTCTTTATACTTTTAACTTGTATAATGATGTGCAAGTTCCTGAAATGCCCATAAAGGAGAATCCCCTCCTATTCTCTCAGCTATAAATTTTGGAAATGTTTTTTGTTTGTATTGCAGCATTTGGTTAAGATTTCTGGTTGCATAGTGATGCCCATTTCTGTAGAACTGTAGTCAAAGGGAAGTCCTAGCTTTGACTAGCGTTCTGGCTGATAAGTGTTGTTGTCTTTGCTGTATCAAGACTTCATTGCATTAGAGTGAAGAACAGTGCACCTGATGGAAGCAAAAGTGCCTGAAGCGCAGTTACTTGTTGCTGGTGGTCCCTATGAGGTGACTGAAGGAAAGTATGAATAGAACAAGCTTGTAATGGATCTTAGAGCCATTAAGAAACAGCTGATGCACAGTTTGCTGGCTTGCTGTAAAACGGACATCCTGTGATGAATACGCTGAGCCTAGTTTCTGTTGTGTGACTGTTAGAAGGACGTTTTTTTTATTAGGTCTTGCAAGCATGTTAAGCTTGAAGAAACTTCAAAACCCAAGGATCCAAACTCACAATTTCTGACAACTGTGAAAAGTGTCTGAATCCCTGGATAGGGTACTCTTTTACTGTAATCCTAATAGGTCTACATCACTTACCAAGGAGATATATACTTTGAAGATGTTTCCTTAACCTTAAAGTGCCTCTGGAATTTAGAAGCAGCAAGAGGGAGTACTAAATACTGTCTTTTTGTTTGCTACAACAGAAATTTCTGTTACCTAGAAAGATACTTGCACTGCAGCCTAGGACTCCAGTTTCTATCCAGGCCGTTTCAGATAATCATGCCATGCTGTATTGGGGGCGAGCGGAAGTTGTTTAGACTGCATTTGAAAGAAGACATCTCTGTCACTGTACTTGCTGAGATAATTACAAATCCTAAAAAGCTATTGTTTGTCACTGCAAATGCTTGTTGCCAGTAATAATAATACAGCAGTCAGATGTCAATTCCACGCTCAGTCTGCGATTCGTTCTCTGTCTCTTGTTTTTCTGTGTGATTTTTTCCTTTTTTTTTTAACTAGTCATGCAAACACAGTCACCTGTTTATTCAGAGCCTGTTTCACTGAGATGAGTACATAGATGAAAAGTAGTCAAATTATAAACTCTTGGAATGCTTCAGGGCAAATCAGTAGGAACAAGATATAGCTTTGAAAAACTTGTTACTACATGTGTTAGCCTCTGAGGGAATCTCAACAGTCTTTTGTCTTTGCCCTTTGTTAGTAAGTTGGTCTGCAGTGTTGTAGGTTACATGGTACCAAAATAATATTAAATGCTTATGAAGTGACAGTAGAGGTGGCAATTTTTTCCCCCCCCTTAATGGATAAAATAGGAAAAGAGTCTGTGTGGTCTGGGAATAGAGATAATTATGGTTTATGCTGGAAGGGAAATAAGAGTGGAAACTGAAGAGCAGAATAACCCCAAGATCTGGTTTTGGGAGCAAGCATGTTAATATTTTTGTGGGAATCCTTGGTACAAAAAGTAAGAGAGAACTTGTGAAACTTGCTTGATGACGCCTCCCAACTCCATCCCCCTGTGTTGGTACAACGTTAGAATAGAAGATTAGACTGAATTACAATAACTAGTGTAGTCAAACAGATTGAAAGATAATAGCATGAAGTTGATTTATGCACTACTAGGAATTTCTGCTCAGCACATGGAAGTAAGAGGAGAAAGGTTAATACATTGGTTATTTTCCTTGAGTGAGACAGCAAAGTAATGTAGCCAAGAAAAGTGAAAGTTGTCCCAGGATGCAGCAGCAAAGCATCTTCACTAGTTGTAAAGCTCTGTTTAAGGTGTGTTATGTGAGGCATTGGTGAGGTTCCAGATGAGTGTGCTTCTGGGTGGTCAAAAATGCATGTTCAGATTGGAGCTGATGGACAAGCAGAAGTCAATAGGATCAAGAGAAGGGAGGGCCTGTCATGGGAGAAGCCTCAGATTTGGCTTGCTTGGCTTCTACAGAAACCTGAATGTTCAAATTTTCCAGGGAAAAAAGTCGTGTAATACTGTAAATGCTGTAATTTTGCTGTGCTGTAGAATGCTTGATTTCACTATTAAAATGCTATTATTTCCTGGAATACTTACATGACAATATTTGATGCAGATCATAGTGGTGGTGATTATTTTCACTGTTGCTTACATATTGCTCTCATGTTTCATTCCAAAATCATAAGATGATCAGTGCCATCGACTTGTTTTCTGAGGATTGTACTCTGCTGGAAAGAACAGTGTGGTGGAGGGGATTACCTCATTCAGAATCTGTTGAGTTGGTTACAGCATTTTTGTGTGTTCTATGGTGATGATCACCAATTACAAGCAATCTCTTACTACATCCCTGGGTCAGAAATGACAGCTTTGTATTGAAGCAGTAAGAGTGGTGTGGAGCACAGACTCTGCGGGAAGAACGCTGGAAATCTGTTCTTCATTTCATTGTGCCTCTCTATTGGTTTTGGAAGAGAAGAGAACCCTGTTCAACTTGAATGTTCTTCAGTTCCAAAGGTGGCTGGCTGACCTGTTTTTGCCCTGCTGAGTTGTTTCCCTGCTGAGTTTCTCTTTGGTTTTATTTAAACATGTGGACTGGACTGATAGCTTGATGTAGTGGTATTTGATCATGCAGCTGCAGATAACGTTTTAAAAAAACTCCTGACAAAGAGCAGGCTTCCAGATATTTTTGCAGTTCTTCACTCAGATTTGCATTGTTCAGGGCTCTATTTCTCTTAAAAGTTCTGCCTGTGAGACTTAAGCATACCTTGTTTGGATGTATTGCATGCGTAAGAAGCATAGTATGTGGATAGCTGCCCCTCATGCTTTAATTAATCTTCTTCAGTGAATTAAAGGTTGATATAGCAATAAAAGAAACTAATTTTTCCTTCCAGAAAGTTTGAGTCTGGGCAGCATAAACCCTTCCTAGTAAGAGATGGAGAGAGCTTGACTTGGTCCTTTTATATGTGGGGACCGATTAAACTCCTTGCTGTTATAAGGCTGTTACTTCTTTACCAGCCCCCACATCTACAAAATCCAGCTTGCTGAGGGACAAAGACAGTACTGAGTGAAGCAGAGCCTTGTGCATTTCCATAAGCCTCTGTTTCATAGGTCCTATTACAGTAAAGATTTCTCTTGCCCTCAGATAGAATGAAATGCATTAATATATAGAACAGGGCAACAGTCTTTATCTGGCTCATCCAAAACCTGCAACACATTCAAGAAAGAGTGAGTGTGTGTATGTGTTGAGGGTGGGCACACATGTGTGTGAGAACTACTAGAGCTTTAAAATCATGAGCAACTTGAGAGAAGGAAATTAAGTGGTCTCTGGGCCCCTGCTGTGGTGTACTATTTGTAAATGAATTCAGAAGAGAAGCTAGTGAGGTGTGATCCTTTAACTTGAATTTCAGAATTGTATTTATGTACTTCACGAGCGTGACTCAGGAGTGAAGCGTTGCATGCTGCACCTAGTATAACTGTCGGAATCCTCAGCTGTTTAAAGTTGCTCTTCGCGCTTATTGTGTGTGTTCTCTTTCCAGCTGCTCTTGGTGTACAGCAGCCATCGCTGCTTGGAGCCTCTCCCACCATATACACCCAGCAGACGGCACTGGCAGCAGCAGGCCTCACTACACAAACACCAACCAACTATCAGCTAACTCAGACAGCTGCTTTACAGCAGCAAGCTGCTGCTGCAGCAGCTGCGTTACAGCAGGTAAAGAAAAAGGAGCGTTTGCTGTTGACTGTGTGACCTTTAACAATATAAACCAGTGGCTTTGTAAAGCTAAAGTATCCAGGAGAAAAGCAGAACAGGAAGTGGTGGACATTGCTGTATAAACCTGTTTTTTAAACGGGGGTGGGGTTTAGGTCGACAGCTATCGATAGTTATATTGATCTGTAAAGGTGGGAATTTTGGCTGTGAAGATGCTGACTTTTAGCTATGGAAAGCCTTTTGGGAAAAGGCGTTTTGCTGCCCCTAAACTGAGAATCTCAAGTTCCAAGTATCTTCCATCACTATACGTATCCTTAATAGCATTTGCATGATTTCATACTGTGCCCTAGATACCATGTAAGTGTCAAGCTTAACAAAAACTGATGATTTTAGCTAGAAAGAGGACATCAGAGTCCACTCGAAAGGCTAAGAATATTTGTAAGTAGTGTTATGTTGATACTATTAGTTATGTTTTGTATTAGAATTGTTAAATGTGAATAGTTTCTGTCTAAAACTTGCTTAGCAGATAACTTGTATTTTGTGGTATTAGGGTAATAATACTTCCTGTTTATGAGATATTTTACTTTTATCTGTTTCAGCAATATTCACAACCTCAGCAGACTCTCTATAGTGTACAGCAACAGGTTTGTCTGATTCTTACTGTGTACAACACAAATAACTTTAAAAATAATGTTGGTTGTGTGTCTTGTAGGATTTGTCTCCAAAATCATCCTCATATGGGAAGTTAAGGAAACTAAGTAATATTTCTTGTAGTGAAAGAGAGCTTGAAGTTCATAAACTTGGAGAGATGTATCCAGAATGGAAACCTGCCTACCTTCATGCAAAAGGAAAATTTAAAAATATATGCTATTCCATGTGTACACGATTCCTACTAAACTTTGCTCTCAACAGGGCTGTGTATTTTAACTGCTGGAAAGATGCTGTCCAAAAAAAAAGTTCCCTTTTACATTTTTTTATGGTCTTTGAACTTAACAGAATTTTGAAAAAGAATAAAAGGATATGGACATTACAGTCCTAAGCTTCTCCAGCTGCCAAAACTTTTTTTGGTATTGCTGTTAACTTTCAGTTATAAAAAACCCAGCATTTCTGCTTACTGAATAAACCTGGATTATACAATCTTAAAATTAACCACAAGAGCACAATTTTATCCATCTGCAAACAGCTGAAATGACCAAACCCCAAAGGACTATTAACTGACTCAGATTAAGCAAAAAACTCTTACTTGTAAAGAGGAGGTAAAATTGTACAATTTCCTTAAGCATATAAAATTAATTTATAACTCTATTTATTTTAAGTTGCAGCAACCTCAGCAGACCCTTTTAACTCAGGTTAGTTTGGTTTTATTGTTTGGTCTTCATCCCCAAACACAGATAATGCAAGAGTGCAAATTTGTGACATTTTGGGTAGTTTAATCTGTAAAATAACTAATATGAATGGCAAATTTATTGGTATAGGTTTATTTTATCTAGATGTTAAAATATGGATAGGCTTCGTTTCAAAAATTAATGGCAACCACTTTTCCTTAATCTTGAAGGGAAGATGTGTGTTGATTACGTTATATTTTCTTTGAACTTCAAGTGTTCAGTTTTTTTGCATTAAGTAACAAAATGGGAAAATCTTTCTCTCCCTTGAGAAGGAATTTAACTTCCTGTGTTAACAGTATTGCAGTATGTGTAATTGAGGGGTTTAAAAAGAATCCTGCTGAGCTTAACAGATTTAAAACATGCAACCATTTAATACACTGTAAGTTGCTCTAGTTCTGTTTTCACTTAACCTTTTAAACATGCTTTTTAAAAAAAGGTAAAAATAGGTTACTTAATTTCACGATCTTACTGTATCCTGCTTTTGTAAGAAGGCAAACATCTGAATTGTTAAGGAAGGGTTCATGTTAGCCTCAACCTTTACTGACTTCCAATACTACAGGTGGATATAAATGGAGAATAATCTCTAAGCCTGTATTCCTAGCAAAGTTAGGAACTTATCTCCTCTTCAGACCCACTGTACAGCTTACCTGTAAACAATAACAGTCTTCATTTTTTTTCCTAGACAATATGCATATTCTGGGGTAGTTTACTTTTTTAAAAGAAAAGGATAAGCAAAGCCAGCCTTCATTCAAAGTAGGAAAAAAGTAATCTAAAAAAAAAAAACCAAACCCAACAAAAAACCCAACTTCCATCTCTATTCAGAATAATTACTTAAGAGAGACATTTTAAACTGCTGCCTACATGGGTAAAGGAACTGTTCCTTGGAGGTATGTCAGCTGGTTATAAGATTTATAGTTTGCTTTATTTTTGCTTACAGCCAGCTGTTGCGCTACCTACCAGTCTTAGCCTGTCTACTCCTCAACCGGCAGCCCAGATAACTGTTTCTTATCCAGCACCCCGGTCAAGTCAACAGCAAACCCAACCACAAAAGCAGCGTGTTTTTACTGGGGTGGTTACTAAACTACATGATACATTTGGTTTTGTGGATGAAGATGTCTTTTTTCAACTTAGGTAAGATGTAAATACTTGCCTGTGGATGTACTCTGTGATACCCTCACTAAATAAAAGATTTAGATTATTGCATTCTAATTTTGTGACTCCATTGATAGTGCCTGCAGTTCGTAATACTGTTTTTTCTGTCAACACCGAAAGTCAGATGGTCAAATAATTTCGTAGACACTAGATCTGAGTTCCTTTATGTGAATTTTTGAGTTTTCTTAATGCAGAACCTGAAGTTGGGAGGCTTAGAAGTTATTAAGCTCCTTATAATATGAAATTGCAGAATTTGTGGATGCTTAAATGCATATAACTTGCTTTCTGCCTATTGTAGCTCAGTACTCTAGGGAACTTCTGCTTGTGGGCTAAATTGAAATTCCTGTGCATACTCTAAACTGAAGCATATAGTACTTTCACTGATTTTGAGGGTAAATGCTCTTCCTATAAGCTTGTTTTAATGAACTTTATCTACTTTCTCCCATCGGTAAATGTAACTTGTTTTAGCTAAATAAGACTCTCACAATACATTTTCTGTAATGTTTACAGTGCTGTTAAAGGGAAGACACCTCAGGTGGGTGACAGAGTTTTGGTCGAAGCTACTTACAATCCTAATATGCCATTCAAATGGAATGCACAAAGGATCCAGACACTTCCAAATCAGGTACACGGGGTTACCCAGTGTAACTTGTATTGACTGCTTCTGGTTCAAGCTCACTCACAACTCATTTTCTCTTCTGCCGTTAGAACCAGACGCAAGCTCAGCCGTTACTGAAGACACCTCCGGCAGTTCTTCAGCCCATTGCCCAGCAGACTGCGTTCGGCGTTCAGGCACAGCCACAGCCACAGTCCTTGTTGCAGGCACAGATATCAGCAGCTTCAATCACACCTTTGCTTCAGACACAGCCTCAGCCATTACTGCAGCAGCCACAGCAGAAAGGTGCTCCGACAGTGCACAAAGTTTGTTGTCTTCCTTCTGGTGCTTAGTGTGTGAATATTATTTTTTACTAGTCAGAAGGCTGAAGTAATAGTTGAAATTCATGTGGAAGGGACCCTATAGAATTTTCAGTCTGAATATGCATCTTCCTCTAGCTATATGCAAGGCACGTTGCCTGCAATAGCTCAAGAATCACCTGGTTAGTGAAATCCCCATGAACCTCTGTTCATATTAATATTTTATAATCTGAAAGCAAATTCAGTGTAGTTTTTATTCTGATGCTGTGGTGGTTTTAACTTGACCAGCAGCCAAATTACCAAACAGCTGCTCGCTCACCCTCCTCTGCCCAGGAAATGGAGGAGAGAATCAGAAGGGTAAAAGTGAGAGAACTTCTGGATTGAGATAAAGACAACTTAATAATAGAAATAAAATTGAAATTAAAATACTAATAATAACAGTAATAACGGAATATACAAATTAATGATACACAGTGCAGTTGCTCACTACCCACTGACCAATGCCCAGCCTGGTCCCTGTCTAGTGATCCCAGAGCAGAGGCAATCCCGAAACAAACTGCAGTCTCCAGAGAGCGAGAGCAAGACTGAATGATCTCCCAGATCCAGCCAGCCCTCATTAGTGTATTGAACATGACGTTGTATGATATGGAATATCTTGCTGGCACATCCAAATGCCGATTTGAGTTTACTAATTTACAGTGCTTCTCCCAAGTTTCTTCTGTACCTGCAGGCTAGCAAGGGCAGTTGGAATGTCCTTGATTTTCTTGGTAACAACTGAAAACATCAGTATACTGGCAACATTCTTCTCATAACAAATCCCATACTGAAACCAAAACTCGGGACTATTCTAGCTACTAAGAAGAAAATTAGCTTTAACTTAGTGAAACCAGGACAGAGACTTTCACAGACAGGTTGGCAAGTTGAAAGTATTAATGGCAGTGTAGTTCTTCAGTGTCTTCTGGAGTGTTCAGCAAGATCAGGTTTCACTCAGTTGTATTGTTAAAACTATTATTTCTATATTTGTCTTTTATTTATTTCAGTTAGCGAAGCTGGCATTTGATTGAAGAAATACTGCCAGACATCCTGTTTTGGATAAATGCTTATTACAATTAAATTAGTCCTAGTTGTTCATTGTTACAATCAGTTGGTTAAATGTCTTGAGACAGCAAATTAGATTATATTAACTTCCATCTTAAGAAGATGGTTTTAAACTGATTTCACTTGCTAGAGTCTCAGTTTGCATCAGTGAAGAAAAGCATAGGTCTCCTGAGTTTCTTGGGGTAGGTGTTACTAATAAATAGATTTATTTGATTCTAGAGTTAGTTTAGAAAATGTACACAAGTGAAACAACTGTAAAGCAGCAGTGTTTGTAAAGTCTAGATAGTTGCCCCCTGTTATGTCCTGATCTTGTAAATTTTTGTTTCAGGTGGTTTGTTACAGCCCCCTGTTCGTCTAGTTTCACAGCCTCAACCAGCTCGAAGATTAGACCCACCATCCAGATTTTCTGGGAGGAATGACAGAGGAGGAGACCCTATGCCAAACCGAAAAGATGACAGGAGGTATGTTGTAGAAGGCTAGACTATAATCAAAGCATTCTATTGGAGGCCTGTCTTCAAACAGAGCTGAGCTGCTTGCTCCGGAGTGAGCCTGTGATACGCACGAGTGGCTTTACCATTAGATATTAGTGTAGAGTTCTTGTCTGTCTGAAATGAAGGAATGGCATAGTCAACCTCCTTTGTAAAGAGACAGTGTACTGAAACAAGCTATGAGGAACTTCTCCTCTCCTTTTTGTGAATCATCTCTGACAGATCTAGCTTCTGTTGTGCCAAAAATCATTTTGTGTTACCAGTGTGCAAAAATATTTGTATCTTGTGTGCATTTTTAAGTCGCGAAAGAGAACGAGAGAGACGCAGGTCCCGGGAAAGATCACCCCAGAGAAAACGCTCCAGGGAGAGATCACCAAGACGAGAGAGGGAGAGGTCACCTCGAAGACCGCGACGTGTTGTTCCTCGTTACACGGTTCAGTTTTCCAAGTTTTCATTGGACTGGTAGGTTTATAGTGCCAGATATTTACCTACATTTCACTTTAACTGTGGGCACAGGTTACTGTGAGCCATGTCAACACATGTGTGTAGTGAGTGTTAAATGATGATCTTAACTTTAAAGAAAGGTCAAATATATAGTGGCTGAGAACCTTGTATGATAAACATTTTCAAGGTTCTTTGTTATTCTTGAACGCTACTGCAAAATACCTTTATAACCCTGTTTAATAAATATTCCTTAATACACAAACACCTTAATCGGAAAGAGTGCTTAGTAGTTACTTTTTTAAAATTTCAATCGATGACACACTAACAGGTATAAAATTAAAAGAGCTATGTATTTATATAGTATTAAATGTACAATAATTATATCTCAAATGAATATACCTCTTAATTATATGCTTGATTAATGATTCTATTGCTGTACCTTTAAAATAATGTTGCTTGTTTCAGCCGTAGCTGTGATATGATGGAGCTGAGGAGGCGTTACCAGAACTTGTATATCCCAAGCGATTTCTTTGATGCCCAGTTTACATGGGTGGATGCTTTCCCTATGTCTAGACCGTTTCAGCTGGGAAACTACTGTAATTTCTACGTAATGCATAGAGAAGTAGATCCTATAGATAAAAATGCTGCTGTCCTTGATCCACCTGATGCTGATCATCTATACAGTGCAAAGGTTTGTATGGGTTTCCAGTATTATGACTATTCATTAAATTTTTTTTTTACCAATAGGGTGAAAAAGTTAGTATAGCTAAACTGAAAATATTCTACAATGATTTGAGCAAAATACAGCATTTTAAACTTTTTGGTAAAGAGCTAGTACATAGAGCTTGGAGAATCATGACTGAAACTCAGCTTGGTTTTGTTACTAGAGCTGTTCTAAATCTTGTTTTTACTGAGGTCTCTTCTCTGCACCCTGTTGCACTGATCTGATTATAAGAAAGCAAGCCAGGTCTGCAAGATCTCTGAATTTATTTCTTGGACAATTCATTCTGAATAATTCAAGGAACTTTTTTT